TTTTTTGTGGCGCAGTTTGGCTACGAGGGAGGGGTGGAGCATTTTGCACTTTTGCTGCTCCCCATCGACATTTCTAGCCAACAAGTGGAGACCCGTGAAATCTTGTGAAGCCACGAAATGGTGCTAGTCCAAAATTGTAGAAATTACTAGTAGATACCACACGAATGATCCATTCAGCATGGGCTCGACGGGTTTGCTCCAGCTTGTTAAGCGTTTGCAGGTTTGAACATGCGACTCGTAAACGGGAACTAGTGAAGCAGCGAAAGTACGAAGTGTCCCCCGTTGCCGAAGTGGCCACTCACGGGCCCCCAGGAACCAAATTTGCCGAATCTTTATCCCATGGGGCAATTTCTGCTAAAACTCGGCGTGAATGTCAATGAGTGGTAAGCGAATTGTTAAAATCAAGAGGTCGTATGTAGTCGATGAGGGGGGGGGGCGTGTTTGATCTCTAGTGGTTTGCTTTGATCAGGAATGGACGAAACATTTTTTAGAAAAGTTAGAGCATGTGGCATTTTTTTGTTCTGTGTTTACCATCCCTCAATAGAAAAATATGGGAAAATTCGGAATGGGTCGCAGCGTCCACAGCATGTTGCGAAGTCCAGCAAACATTAGGGCCATTTTGTGAAGTCTTATAGCTCAAGTAAAGGTAAGAAGTAGGGCGGCCTCTTATAGGGGACATGGAGCGCTTGCCGTCCCGGATCTTTCCCAAAGGTTTAGAAAGAGATTCTCTCCCCTCTGCTTACAATCATTTCTTTACCTTTGTAATAGGGAACTGCCGCATTAGGAAAACGTTAAAGCGAGTTTGTAACGTTTCCGGGTTTGGAAGAGTTTACAGGACTACAAAATGGCTCAGCAGGTTAACAGGAAATAGCAAAATTACCCTTCTACGTTCAACTAGCCCACCCCACCCTTGACGTTTCGTAGCTTGGGCTTCGTGGGACTGCATTGAAATGGCTCGATCTTATTGGCCCTAACTTTACAAGATGGCCTCGTATATCGGAATAGCGTGATTTTCTTTTACTCGAAACATCTTGAGCATAATCCTTGCCAAGCCAGTTTATCACGTTTAAGTTATCATGTACTTCCTACACAAGTGGACAAGTTGAGGCAGGTGGCACGATGTGTAAAATATGGTCCCCACGCTGGGAGGCCAATTTTAGATTTTGAGCGAGTAGTAGTGTGAGTGTTTTAGTTTCGCAGCAGGGATTAGGTGGGATGGCTGCACTGTTGTGTCGTCATTCAGCATATATCCTCGCCATTTGGCGATCAATACGTCAAACGCCGTGGGTTCAGTGGATATATGGGGCGTATTGTAAAAAGGACATTGAATGGAGTGGTTCTGCCTATAGACTCAGTTCTATCAGTCACATGGATTGGCTTAGGGACCGTCTCAGGGCACTTGTCAACCGGGAAGCCTCTCCTCTCTTCCATTTTTTCTTCCACCTTCCTTGTTTTCCTCCTTCCTTCTCTGATCCTTCCTGACCTTCTATTTTGTACATCATCGAGGTGAGCTAGTTGGTACTGGGCTTGGCAAGGTAACCTGTAACTACGGCTGAATGAATGGGGTTGTCATGGCTGATGTATGAGAGGAGGGGACAACTCGGTTTGGCGGTAGGGGGGACGTTTTGCACCTACTTCCAGGGTTTGGCAAGGGGTTGTACATCATCGAGGTGAGCTAGTTGGTACTGGGCTTGGCAAGGTAACCTGTAACTACGGCTGAATGAACGGGGTTTTCATGGCTGATGTGCGAGAGGAGGGGACAATTCGGTTTGGCGGTAGGGGGACGTTTTGCACCTACAGTCGTCCCATCGACGTGTCGGCATCAGGTGACCTGGAGGGTACGGGTTGACTGGATTATCTATGCAAAGTGCGTCTGTGGTCCTCGATGAAGACGTGATTAGGCTCCTAAAATGCTAGGTATATAAGTGAGGAGAAAACATTAAAGGGTGTTTTCGGAGTTGAGTAAATAGTTCAACATGGAAAGTGATTGTTCGCTAACATTGAACGGTTCTCGTAAGCTGCTAGTCGTTCAGATTGTGGGTATTGCTGGTTATCTTCGAGCGGTGAGAGGACGTCTTGGCGCAGATGGGCGAGGAGAGGGGCATTTCGCCCTTTCGAAGTTCCACTAGTTCCGGTTTACACGTCTCACTCCGGTAGAACGTGTGAACTCTCGAGCCACCATGGTAATACCTGCCAACTCTTAATCTCATGAAATAGCTCTCTAGATGGCTTGACATGTTGGGAAGTAGCAAAAGTAAAGCCTTCCCGTTCCCATCGCTGAACTGCCTCGATGTGTTCATTTTGTTAAGAACTTTCGCCATTCGATATGAGCTTGGAGGCATCTGGGTTTGGAACGAGTGGGTGTAGTTATACGCGTGTTGCGTTGTATTGATCCAGCATCCTCTGTTCTGTCCGGCGGCAACTCACTGCCGCGCTGCGTGCAATTCTCTATGCAGAATTAGCATACTATGATGTTGGGATCGGTTGGTGTATTGTCGGCATTTTGTTTGATATCACTAGCGACGATGGTGTCGCCACTAGTCATTCATCTCTATTTCTCTCCCGTCGTATCGCACACTACCTATATCATAATCTCAGGGCGTCACTACAAGTGTGTATTATGACATATTTTCAGGCCCATGTGATTCAGCGCTATTCCATTCCCATTGTCTGAGATAGTTATTAGGCCTGGAACTCGTGGGGGAAGGGGACGTGCAGCTTCTTTCCATCCTGCTTGTTCTGTTTTAAGTATGTGTTTTTTTCCTATGCGTGGAATTCGGAGGTAATCACACTTGAGCTCAAAAGCGCTGGTCCACGAACATAAGGAATAGTGCCGGATAATTCCAATATAGATGTGTAGTGAACATTCGAGCGGATAGTATAGTGGCAAATGGCACACTTACACGCCTGCCTTTCGGAGTTCATCCCCAAACGGCTCCCGCCCAGGTCAGTCTAGCCATCTAGCCCTCGGTACGGTAAATTGGTAGCAGATTCTTATGGGGGGGGGGATAAATAAAACTGGCTTGTACATCGGCTGGCCACCGCAAGTCATTGTATGGGCCACATCGCATTCAGTAAGCCACTACGATTCTGAATAGGAAGTAGAATGCGTGCCGCATCCCAAAAAGGATTACCCAACACTGAAGACTTTTTACCTTATCTTTCAGAGCCCAATTGTCTGAATTTTACTGTTTGACTGTTTTCAGCATCTAGCACCTCATTTTCCGGGTGTTTGGTGACGAGTGGACCTTGAGAAACCTCAGAGAAACCCACCTAAATCTAGCTGTATTTCGGTATATTGCCGCTGAACTGCTACGAGGAGTTCCATGCTGATTTTTTTTGCGAAGGGACGTGATTATGAGACCCCCATTTGTGACGCCACACGTACCATATTCCACCGTCCAGTGCCTGAATGTAAAAAGTGTGCGGCGGCAGTCGTTGAGTTCATATGCCAGTGCTTATCGGAGTGTCCAGTTCGTCTGCAACCGTTATCGCTTCATTTATCATCACTCCCTTCTTAGTCGCGCGATGTTGAAAGCTCCCGAAGGGTAGGTAGAGATATGCTTCAAGGAGTCATTTACTTTTTACATGCATATCGTGCGTTCGGGAATCCCTAGCGGGGGTCGTATTTAATGGGTGTTGTATGTGGCTTGAGATTTTCTGATAAACGATTGTTTCTATCCTACGCGCGTTATCCACAACGTTGGTAGACAGTCATTGGGGGGCGGGGTATTTGCTGGTCCTCCCTTCAATCCCCCCTCCCTCCTGCCCATAAGTGGATGCCCGGCAAAAGTTCTACGCAATGACTGGTTTCGAAAAACTGGAATATGCTTGGTAAATTTCGGATAAAGTGATTGCAAGCAGGCAAGTAAAGATGGTGCTAGAATGGGCAATGAGGGTTGTACCAGAGGAGAAAAGGAGGAAGGGGTTTTTCAAGAACTTTCGCCAGCAGCGGGAAGTACCCTGATATCGCCAGGGCTTCTCAGCAAGCGCTAAGGTATGTTGCCAAAGCTAAATTGTAGCGGGCTTAATGTGTGCTCATGAAAACCCGCTACATTTAATTGTTATTTACATCGGCTATCTTCAGGGAGTCGCTGCCTAATGAGTGTCACCTATCACGTTGTGACTTATAAACAGAGGCGTTGATTTAGAAAGTTTGCGCAGGGTTGGAAGGGGCTAAAAACGGTTCTGAGTGAGAGGATGACGACCTCTTTCAATCCTTGAGAGGGAACACCAGACAGAGTGAATGAACTACTCTGTGCACATAAGTCCTGATTTGGAATAGTCTGGGTGCTCTGAATCAAAGCGTTCCACCTCATGGAAATAGCTTCAGAATGCAGAAATGTTCCTTTTTGTGTAGCTTCAACCCTCATCTATTGACATTAGAAAAGTTGGCGCAGTTCGGCGGCAAGGGGGGGGGGCATTTTGCACATTCGCTGCTTCGCACGTTCCGGGTTACAAGTCTCATTCCGGTGAAACCAGTGAACTCTTGTGGATCTGAAGCAAGCTCGTCTGGAGCAAGCTCGATCTGGAGCATGCTCGAGCTCATGTCCGTAAGTAGTAGCAAAAGCAGCAAAGTAGTGGGAAGTAGAAAGTGCAAAATGCCTCCACCCCTCCACCCCACCATCGCTGAACCGCCCGAAGTTTCTGTTCCTCGTCAATGATTTCTAAGTAAGCGTGTCGGAGTTGCTGCAAACTGTCTAATGCTAATGTGTTCACGTGATGCGATGCAATAATCAGTTCTTGAAAAGTTTCTCTCCTTTTTTGTTTTTATGCCGAAGTCTGCACTCATTCATCACACTACCTCCACATCGTCGGCAGAACTTGATTGTGTATTGATTGTTACAATTGTTCGAATTCCCCCTACTAATCCGGTATAACATTTTCGGCGACAAGGCGTCGTTTCTATGGGAACGTGAGGTAGACGACGACTGTGATTCACTGGACCATCTCAAGCTAGGACGAGAAGAAGAGACGACTTATTGTCGAACAAGTCAAAAATGGCATATGAAATAAGTGGAATGTTCGCTCAACAGCAACATCAACATCATAATATCTGGTCCTCAGGCGGTGTTCAAGCATATGGAGGTTCATCAGGTTGGTGAATCTACAACAGCCCACAAGACATTTGATATGTTCGTGGCCACTTTTCTCATGCATCCGGTGAAAGCTCGAATTCCGAAGGGGACTTTTCATAAGACAAATTCCGCTATTGCATATTATGGGTGATGGCGTTCACTTACGAACCTATGGTCGCTAAGTCGAACTTGGGGAGGTGATTTAAGTCTCTAGGGAAGAAAAAAGCGAAAAACAATGAAGAACACTGTAAGGACCCCTGGCAGCCTCACTGTATGAGTTTTCTGCTTGTTTTACGCCTGCAGAGCGATACCCTGCCGCCTCTGACTCACTAATCATTTCTTCGCGTCAGACAGACTAATACCATTTAGCAAGAAAAAAAGAAAAACACGGTGTTAAAACTGAACTCGACAGTGAACAGCCTTTGAGTTTTGGTGTGTAGGGCAACTAGAATGCGTCAGAACATCCGCTTATGAAGGCCGCACTTCGTTACTTACAGTGAAGCCGCGAAAGTGGAATAGTTTCAGTGAATGAGGAAAAGGATGCCCTAGGAACGACGCTTATGAATTGCTTGAGGGCAGGGACTGTATTTAAAATGCACATCTCAACCCACAGTTTTTTTTACGTTCCATCTAGCTGGCGTGAGACATGCTATGAAATCTCTGGGAACATTTCAAAGAATAGTAGCGGCGCAAACTCTGGACACGTACGTCAGAAAGAAAAAAAGGGGCTAGTCTTCCGGCCCAGATCCCCCCTAGCTCGCTCGTTATTCCGTTTTGCTCACCTCTTACTCTGCCTTGCTGCGAGACTGAAGTCGATAATTTTTTTTTCTGCAGAAGGAAGCCTACAACTTGTTTTCGCAGAAGGGCGACGCGGCGAGCAAGGCTGGGTATTGCGCGATCTAGGCATTGTCTTTGGCCGTGATCTTTGCCAATTTCCTTTCTAAGCTTCTAAGCTGATCGGTTTCTCAGAAAAGTAAGTCGGCGAGTACAGCAACTAAGAGTTTGAAGCGCGGGTGTCTCGGGATGGAGTGTTAATTATTAGCGAAACTTTCGAAAACTTCGTGCGCGCCATTATTTGAGAAATGTGATTGACAATTTTTCCTCAAAAGCAGTTGGCACGATGATTTCCTACTTAGCCTAAAATGCTAGTAGGGCGCTGTATAGTGGGGAAATGGCGAAAGAACGGAGTGAAACGGTCAAAATCCTGCGAAGAAAAAGCCTCCGTTCTCAGTGACTTGTAAATCGGACGAGTTTCCCGTAGGCATCTTACCAATCACCGCTACCGAAGATACGGCTGCATATGTGTACCCATGTATGCATGCAGCATCACGGCCGCTTCATTGCTTAGCAAATGAATGAATACGAGCGTCAGGAACGGTCGTCCATTTGTGGGCGGGCGTGGCGTTTGGGACGTAAAGTTGTGGCTTGATAGGGCCCTTATAAGGGCACCTTCCTCGGGGAAACCGCTATGCAGCGCCTGCCCAGGGTCGCGGAATTCTATCCTGCCAGGAGTATTGATCCTAGTCGTCTTGGGGGATTTATCGTGCCAACTGCCTTTAAAGTGTTGTTTTTAAGGATTGATGCCGACGATGAGCAGCCTGCTGGGCGGCAGTGCGTCATATATGGCAAACCACAATCAGTTAGAACTACACACACCGAAAGCTGAATCGATACAAGGATATGGACAGCTCACTTGGCTATCCGGCAAAGCTGGTCTGATAACATGCAAGAATAAGATGGTCATATCGTTCCAGATAAAGGACTTTTGCGATCAGGTATTCACAGATACTGTTCATTACGAGGGGGGATCACTTATCCGACTGCAAAAAAACACTGATATCCATGAAATTCTTAAGATGCTCACGGACCTCACATCTGTGCTCCGTGTTGGCTTTACACTGTCATTCCAAGCGTCTCTCAATGAAACCAACGAATACACTGCCACATTAGTTCATCCATTATATGGACCAGTGAGTTCATATCATTGTTCACATTCAATTGTTTTCTTAGCAGTTTGTTAATCAGTATTATTTTAACTTTTTAGGAAGCAGAGCAAGTGTTTCTCAATGCACCTGAAGTAGATCTGGAAAAAGCATGTCCTACTCCACCGAATTCTAAGGACGCGTATTCACCAGTGATTGAAGCTAGAGCAGTTCCAGCTCTGTTGGCCATCTTTCAGCGTCACGCTCTTACACAAATTCAACTCAGCAGGTGGGTATTTGCCTAGTCGTTGCGTTCAACTCTTTTTTTTCTGAGAGATGGATTAAAGATAAGTTCGCTGTTTGTGAAGGACACTGTGCGCAGGTTGACCTGGAGAGATGGATCCCTTTCGCTTGAGGTGGACGGCGACAGGCCTTGTCGTCTTGGGGATCCCAACGTGCGACGAGGGGGGATCGTATTTTGTCGTCGTCGGAGGGGTGGTACTTGCTTCCCCTTTTTTTGCTTTTGCTTCATTTGGGGCAGCGAAACTCATACGAATTCAAGCGTAAACAAGACTCCATCATGGGTGATGTTGTATTTTCCCGTCCCTTCAATTCAAATGGTTGTTAGGAAAACTCGTCTGTGGGGCTTCGACGTCGCTTGCCAAGCCCACTAGCGCGGCATATGACAACTATCTTGTCTCATGCCCCTTTTCAGGTAGTTATGGAGTCTTTAAATAAAAAGGAATAAAGTCTTCGCCGTTAATCGATCAATTCTCATTGAATACGACGATTTGGCTTAAACAGTGAATTGCTGGGCCAGCCAAATTCGGCGTTTTCATCTTCCCAGACGAATCTGGTACCAATTTACCGTCCCCGGAGGGTAGAAGGCTTGGTTGGCCTGGGCGGGAGTCGACCCGGGATTCGAACCCAGGACCGCGCGAGTGGTAAGCGCGCCACTTGTCACTACACCACCGCCTCAGTTTGTCTTTAAAATAGTAATATGTTTATATTAGGTTGTCCGGAAAGTTCTCAGCGTTTTGTGTTACTATTTTTGTACATTCATTGCTGATTAAAAACTCATTCTCCCTTGCGTCTCAGTAGTACATCCTGAAGAGAATTCGCGCTATCTGATGGTATAATTGCCGTTTCACCATTGCTTGATTGAACCCCCTTTTTTCAAGAGTTTTTCAAGCATGTCAAAACTTCGGACGATATTTTTCTTCAACTACAAATTGGGTCAATCCGCAGTCGAGACAGCTCGACAAATTAACCAGGTGTGGGGGCCCAATAGTGTTGGAGAAAGCACCGTGCGACAATGGTTCGACAAATTTCGTTCTGGAGATTTCAGCCTTGAAGATGAACCTCGTAGCGGTCGACCTAAAGCAATACCTGACGAGGATTTGAAGGCATTTGTGGAGGCTGACCCATCCCAAACAGTTCGAGAGATTGCAGAAAAGCTAGGCGTTGGCAAATCCACTGTTGCGGATGGTCCTTAAAGCATTGGGAAGGTCCCCACGATTTGAGTGACCGGCAGAAATTGGCACGTCTCGAGGTTTCTTCTTCACTGCTTTTGCGCAACAGAAACGACCCGTTTTGGACCGAATTGTCACGTGTGATGAAAAGGAGATCATGTATGATAACAGGAGACGTTTCGGACAGTGGTTGGATGCCGGCGGACCCCTGAGGCAATTTCCAAAGCCGAATCCTCACGACAAAAAGGTTATGGTCACAGTGTGGTAGTCATCGGCTGGTGTGATCCACTATAACTTTTTGTTACCAGGCCAAACCATCACAGCAGAGTCCTACTGTGAAGAAATCGACGAAATGTACCGAAAATTGCGTCAGCTGCAGCCAGCACTTGTCAACAGAAAGGGTCCGATTCTTTGCAACGCCCGCCCACACGTTTCACAAATCACTATCCATAAATTGAACGAATTGGGGGTTGAAGTTCTACCTCACCCGCCATATTCTCCAGACCTTTCACCAACCGACTATCACCTTTTCAAACATTTTCAGAACTTCCTTGCTGGAAAATACTTCATCAATCAGGACCAGGCAAAAAAGCCTTCGTGGATTCTCGACCACCCAGTTTTTTTTCTTTGATGGGATTTCTCGACTGGTGTCACATTGGCAAAAGTGTGCTGATTCGAAGGTGCTTATTTCGATTGAATCCGATGAGTATTAAGAAAGTTATGATCGTTCAAAGTGAAACACTCAAAACGCTGAGAACTTTCCGGACAACCTAATATCTATGGCAGAAGTACGAAAATAAGAATATTCCTGAGTACATTTGACTGCATTTGTCTCTTTCAGCCTGCATTCACAGATGTCAAATTGCGCAGATGACGAACTGTTTCGTTACGTCGGTACATCATCTCTGAAGCGCCGCCAGTTTGTCGAACGTCGTACTCACCTCTTCCGTCTCACACCAGAGGACAACATTGCATTACAGGTAAGATAATCGTGGACGCGCTTCAGTGGTTTTCGTCTGCACTCAGCCCGTCTTATGTTTTATGCCTTGTCTCTGACATCATTCTGAGTAGTATGTTTTGTTTAGAACCCTGCAGTCTACTTGTGTGTTCTACGTCTTGCATCCTACCTCTTACGCCGTGGAGGTGCAACTGCTATTCAAAGTCTCTACGATTATTTCATTGGACCAGAGATGGCACCTGAGATACGCGAACAAATTGGAGAAAGTACTGTTATTTGTCTTACTATTGCCATTACACGAATGGCAGAACATGGTACAGAATGGTACACTTTCATCGTAGTCATCTGTGTTCTAGGTCGTCAAGAGTTTCTGAATCTCGTTGTTGGCCACCCGTGGATTTTCGCGTTGTTCCCGAATCGTACATACGTGTCCGTGCGCCGTAACTTGCCTCACTACGATTATCCCGGTTTTATAAAACAGGTATGACGAGAAAAGAGAAGTTCCCTCAATTGAACAGATGTCCATACATTACTATTGTGGATAATGAAAACCTGTTACAGCATTTCCCCGATTTGGATGTGCTGCGTCCATCATCAGCACGCGGTTACGGACCTCGTCCCATTGCCCGCTCGATGTCTGCTCATCAGCCACTAGTTCAAGCTCTTTCAAATAACCGTAGTGCAGCAGTAAGCGGGTCATTGGTGCAGGCTGGCAACCGTCCTGTATCTCTATGGGACAGTAGAAACAGCATGCCACAGGTAATTTCGCATCTGAAGTGAATTTTCTTCAGGTTGTTTAGGATCATATTTTCAGACAATTGGATCCCTGCACAGTCCAGCAGAACAGCAGTGGAGTCCTGTCGATCCAATGTTCTCGCCCGCGTGGCCAGCACGCTCTACATCGATGGGCGAACGCGGCGGCGTACTTGCCCCCGCACCACCACCGAATGGTGGGGGAGTGACAGGTGTTATCGGGTCCGCGCCCGGCGTTGGTGGCACAATCGGACAGAACAAGGTATGTCGGTTAGCAAAGGTCGATATTGTTGCAATGAGAAGGGCGATTTGTTCGGTTCAACAGGTATCTAGCGCAATTTCACGTTATTGCGTGGAAATCTTGAAAGTGCTGGAAAATCTAGAAATGATTTGGAAAAATTTAAAGCTCTGAAGTGAATGTTTCCAGTCGTAGTTTTTAGCACTAGGTTGGTAGAAAGGGTGTTGAAATGTTCCCAACCTCATAACCAAAATTGAAATTCTGAAAAAGTGGGTTCATATGAAATGACAGCTGTCTGGAAGCATACATTTTTGCCAAATGAGACAATTTTCCTTCGAAGTCAGAGTAAAAAGTAATTTGAGTTGTAAATTTGTGAAACGCTATCGGCATCTTTTTGCTGTTTGAACTGTATATTTTCCATAGTAACTGTGATTGGAAAGATGTAATCCCAAAAATGCAATAGGAGAAATATCTAATGTGTGAGATGGATTACACAGAGCTCCACATCCCAAGTAGCTAATTTTTTTTACTATTTCTGCATTTTCTTTTGAATGAAGGCAAAATATGGAAGGCAAACCCCGCGGCGACTCTACATTACAGATCAAGTACAAGCCTGTAGCTCGCTCAGTGACAAAAAAAACACCCTAGGTAGGGACCCCTAGCAGTCTTATCGTGCGAATTCTCCACACTTGCTCGTCTTACGTTGACGAAACGATATTTGGTCACCTCTGACACAATAATGGCCTCTTCGCGTTATCCAGTGCTAATATTATCTAAAAATGACACGAGAAACGGTGTAAAACTGAACTTGTGGCCCAAAATAGCCTTTGAGCATTGGTGGGCGGGACAACTAGGAGTGCGTCAGAACTACCACCTATGAGGGTCGCAGTTCCTTCGCTTCTCATTGTGCAGCCGCGAAAAGGGACAATGCTGGAACTGTGGGCCAGACCCAGACGAGGAGGGCTGGCGAGTGGGTTGAGCGGGTATTAACTAAGGTTTAGGCTTGGAGCGCCGACGACCAGTCATCGAGGGGCAGCCTCGCAGAGTACACTCCGCTGAGTCTAAGCCCCGTTTAGAGAACTGTAGAGGGTTTAGGATCTCTGAGAAGCCTAAGCGCCAAGGCCATGCGTCCTAACCACATCTGCAATCGTGCCTCACTCAAATTGCATCGATGCTTCAGTCTTGTATGTCTTCAAGCAAAAGTAACGTGAGAGACTGGAAGAAATAAGAACTTTCCGCTTTAGTAAGTTTCCAAAGAATCTAATACAATCGAACTTTACCAAAATTTCTGGGGAGAACGTGGAGGACATTTTCGATCTGATCATCTTTTCGCCTGTAGTTAAGCCAAAAAAGGAATTCTGTGGTTTTGAAACTTCGTTTTTAATGTTATATGATGTTTCACAGATACTGGTGAACGCAGCGGTCCAGACTGATGCGATTCGCGCCGATTCCGGAACATGCACATGTGGCTGTACTTGTGGTGGACGTGGCGGTTTGTCACGTGCTAGTGGTGGTTCTGCCAGTCCACCAAGTTTGGATAGTATCAGTCCATCACTGAATGATCGTATTTCTCCACCAATGAATACAAGTGGAGCTCCAAATAACGGTGGAGACATTGTCGCCGCCGCCGATGCTCCACCAACTATGCGCGCTTATGATCTGTTCGGTACCACCGAAATATTTGCAGCACGTCTTGGTTCAATGCGCATTAATTAGTGAACGAGTAGATTGTAGAGAGCGTACATGTAGTTCGCAGCGACATATTCATGATATAATGAATACTCGTCTTATATCCATTGAAGATATACATTTGACTACTTAATATTTCCATTTCTATAGATTGTTTTGAACGCCCTGCGTGTTTCACGTATGTTTAGTCGTATCATTTGTTCAGGCATCTCGGATGCTTTTCTCTCTTATGCCTTTGTGCCGTTTTGTTTGGCGGGTAGTGCGCGAGCTTATAATTTAGTCTGCAGGGCGCTCGCGACTGCGCACATCCCTCCCCCTCTCCTCACACCTGAAGACTTTCACTTTTCTAGTAGTATGATTGATATTTAAGCCGTTTTGTTTTGGCCGTGTTCTGTTTGTGATAGCTTTATCTTAATCACTATCATTGAGATAATTTGCTACACATGTGTGTGTTATCCACGTGTAGCGCTAATCTAAACCCACCTCTTCCCTCTTCCCATATTGGCGCCTCTAGTCGCGGCCCTTTGCCATGCCCTACGGGCACATTTCCTTGATATCACTTATGTACACTTGCTCATGTTTTTACCGTCTAATCGGTGTACCGTTGTGCTTTAGTCGTATCTCATGTTTCTCCAAATACTATAGTCTAATTCAAGTATTATGACAGGTTGAACAGACCCGTGGGTGAAAATAATTCTGTTCAAAAAAATATAAAAAAACTGTCTGGGCGTACACAGACCAGGAAATTATAAGTTCAGGAAAACAGGCGGCTAACAGTACCACCGGGAATTGCGCGTGTAATTGAATGTGTTGTCTTTGAGAATGTTTACAACTGGGCATACCCTAAGAAGGAACTCCGCTATGAGGTTGTGTTCATACTTTGCACCAGCGTACGCCGGTGTATGACAGCTTTTCGAGCACATGCCAGCTAAGAAAGTATAGACATAGATCTAGCGGAAGCTTGCGTGTACCACCGTATGTCAGCGTTTTCGCGGGCTACTCTGGCATACGCTGGCGTACGATAGATCGATATCTATACTTTCCGAGTCGCTGGTTACGTTCGAAAACCTTTTATGCTGACGTACGCTGATGCAAAGTATAAACACAGCATCACCGTGGTGTCCTTCTTAGGCTTTGCTCAATTGTATGCATTCACGAGGACGACACACTCAATTTCACGCGCAGTTTTGGGGCGTACTGTATAGCGCCTGTTTTTCTGAGCTTATAATTCACTATGCAAACCCAGGGGTCACGTGATTCTGTCATAATAATTGAAATAGACGTCATATATGTGGCATATTTGCCTGTTATCTAGCGTGTATCGATCGCGTAGCGTTGCCATGTCCTAAGTGTCGATCAATAGTCATAATGGAATCATCGTGTAATACATGACGCTCAAAATTGTGTTTAGTATGTGTGTTTATCACTGCTGCGATTTCATTTCAATCGCACACTCTCGGACATAGCGCGACAAAGCTATTGTCAACAAAAGAAGGTGTCTGTTTCATGATTACGTTGTTAATGGTTCTAATCATCATCATCAAGTTCCGTGTGCGTTAATATTATATGACCTATACGTTGTAGTCCATTAAAGGTGTACTGCCACCTTTCTACCCGGCAATTGTGTTCTCTATTTTCTCATTTTGGTATTCGTTTTTTTTCTTCATCGTCTTCATTCTTTCATTCATTCATCATTCTTGGTTTATTCGATTAATTTGTGTGTGTTGTATTTATACTTCATCGTTTAACTCATTTTCGGTTGCAATCGTCAGTGATTCAAGCATCAGGTACCTTAACCATATTCGTGTATTAGCCAGCACGTGAATAGTGGCTACGTCTCGATGAAGGCGTGTACCGTCGGGGTGTAATTCAGGACATCCAGGGGGGCGGCTTCACGCGCGAACAAGTTTTCCTAGCCCGTTGACTCGACGTAATGCTTTGGCGTCAAATCAGTTGTGTCGTGGCCGGCTAAGTACGACGCAGTTTACCTTGCGGCCTCAGCTCGAGAACTACTGCATTTGATAAACTGCTTTCTTCTGTTTCAAGTTTCCAGGATCGCTTTCATACTTCATGGGGACGATCCAAAAAACTTGAGGCAAGGGAGGGCTTCGTCGACTGACGAATTTCATAAGACAAGGCGTAAAGTAAGCTGTCTAGGACGTAGACTGCAATCCCACAAGTGATTTGACGCCTAGCTGTCGTGCCAAGTCAGCTGGACAGAGTACTACGTTGTCAGCGTGCTTGCCGCCATTTGGATACCCGGAACTACCCGCAGTGTCCATCTATAATTTTTGTCCAAGAAAGTTGTAACATAGGGTTTTCATGGAGGAGCGCCATCGAGACGGAGTTACAGCGCGTTGGTTTCTCGTGATTGCTGGTCACACAGGGGAAACGCCCTACTGTGATGATATTTTGTAGTTAGATGTCTTTCTATTGTCTCGATTACGCGTTCAATATGTTGATCTGGACATAATAGCTATTACCGTGTTGATGCCCTTCTTGAAATGGGTAAATTTCTCTTATCGGCTCTGCCTTTATGTATCACTTTTCACTATTGAGTATGTATGGTTAATGTCTAGGGCGTGCGCAAAAAAAATATGCGAATAATAATATATTCATCGTCGTCGTCTTCGATTTTGACCATATATAGTCATGTCCATTTTATGGTACAACGAGCTATGTATTCATATTTTGTCGTGGCAGTTATCCATCTGTATGATTTATATTGTGTATAGAATAATGAATAAAAAAATGGCCGTGCCAAATTTAGTGTGGTATGTGTGTTGATATTGGAGTAGTGGCAAGGTCAACGTAATGATTTCGAGGTCGTGATTCCTAGCAGAGGTTACTGACAATATCGTTGCTGATAGGGAGAGAACATGATGGATCGCTAAATGACGTCGGGTAGCCGAGAATCGCCGGCCGGCCCAGAAAAAGCGGTTCCGTGCGTTATGTTCGTAATGATAAGGTTCCAGGCGAAAGGAGCAGCGCAGAAAAAAGAAAGGAATATAGGCAAGGCAGTTGTCTCGTCATTGCGAGAGTGCGACGTCGGGTTGCGCGACGACCTGGTTCCTTGGTAAACCCTGCCGTGTCTAGGGATCATAGGATACTTTCTAGTCCACGCACCCATCCCATATCCCGGAGATGGGGAGGGTGTGGCTGCGTACATCGTTTGAACATGACGGGGCTGTTGTTTTGGTGGAATACTCGGGGTGCGTCGTACCATTGCGGAAAAGATTTGGAAAATACGATCCTCCTCAAAACTTTCTGCTCTGGTATCCTCCTTCCCCACTGGGTTCGAGAAAAATATGATCCCCCGAATTCTGTCCTCAAATACGACCCGACCCCCTTGCTACCTACCACTTTCCTAGATTTCCCAAGTTTCCCACCACTTTCCATTTTTTCTCCGAAAAATTCCCAGTTTTTCAGCCAAGAATTTTCCGTCGAACGGGGGGGGGGCGTCAGGGTCTGAAAAGGAGTATAATTTTCAACTGTCGAAAATGGTCTACGGACAACTTGAACTCAATCCCTTTGAACGCGTCGATCTTCTCTTTTTCTCTGCACTCCTCGTCCGCATGGCACTCTATGGCCGTTGTGACTTCGCTCACTCCAGCTTTTCACCGACTATAAGTAGCTCACCCACCCCGGAGTCCCCTCCCCTTGAAAAATCCCGTTTCCTGGCTCGCCATACGTTTTTTGCACGTTTCGATGCTTTGGCAGCCGCTGCCCTCTATCCGTCTGCGTCACAGGGTTTCGTAACAGGACCATGCAAAAAAAGTTCAAGATGTCACGTAACCGTCCCTGAAACAAGAGAAATCGACTATCCAAAAAAATTTTTTCTCGGACCGAATACGACACCCCCTCGCTCGCGGTCAGATACGACCCCCCCCCCCCACCCAATGTGATCATCGCAACGATGGCGTGCCCTGATTGTGCATACCATCTTCCTAAATTTTCCGAACTTCTTATCTTTTTTTCGGAGTTGTTTTCCGTCAAGCAGAGAGACGGAGGGTATATAATGCACATGGAACAGAAGAACCAACGAAAGTCAACGACCGAAAACATCTCTGAAATGCAAATACGCCACCCCACCCCCCCCCCCCCCCTCAACAGCGACCAAACACGACCCTGGACGGGATTCTCATAGTCCGATATGGTTGTATTGCCGTTGTGATGCAGTTGAAAGAATGTTTTTGTCCCGCATAAGAGAGGATGGCTGTTGTCTCCAATGGAAATAACTCTCAAAAGCGCGTCCTATATCACGGCCTTATAAAGTACGCAATCGCGCCCTCCCTATCTCCGGGATATGGAATGAATATCATGTGTCGTGAGCGTGGCTGGACTGATGTGTTTATAATTGCCACCCTTCACGCGTTATATACCCGCGGAAACTTTCGGGCGCAATGTCGGGCCACGCCCCCGTTACTTCTACAGTGTCCTTTCACGTCGTCCGGAGAAAGTGTAGTGTAAGGAGAAGGTGGGCTGCCTAACCACAGGATTGCTTTAGGGGCAAGGAAGTAAAGTTGCCATATTTGGACTTTGGGTTTTCCGTATCTGGTTCTTTGAGCTATTTGATATCGAGTATTCGTGCTAACCAAAAGGAGGATGTGGCTTCTCTAATCTTGAGGATTGTTCCTATTAAGGCATGCAACGAAACAATGACGATAGAGAACGATGTCGATAAAAACTTGCAGCAGGGCGCAGCAGACTCCCTGTAGAGATTTTCGTACATGCTTGCATCCACGTTCCAGTTCAGTCCAAGGGGGCGCTTCCTGGATGGCTAATGTCCCCAGCAAAAGGGCACCAGGTTGAAGATTCCTCAGTGGCAGGGCAGGAACGATTGTCATCAGGTCGCGTGGGAAGATTTTGCAAAATACGACCCCTCCTCCCGGCGAGATATTGTTGAGTTGGAAAATGTACCCAACGGTCCACCCTGTAAGGGATTTTTGGCGATAAACCTCCATCGCCCATTATCTTTCCTCTTTCATGTCAACACAAATGCGGTTGGTCTTACTCTCATTTCACTCCCGTGCTTCTTGCTGTATGGTGAGGCAACTCGATGACTGTGCAGTACTCTTTACCAGCAGCTACCGCATCCGGTATGGTTTCTTCAGATCCCATGGCGCCATGCCTCTCAGGAGGGGCCACTATGCAGCGAGGCTCAGCCATATCATGTTCTGATGCGATAAAGCTACGTCATGCTGTCTAGGGTAAAGGGAGCACTGAGGTGGTGACACGTTCTAATGCTTGTGAGAACGCGCCAAGTTACCGCTTCGAGAGAGTGCAGACGATTAAGCTGAAATGGCTCTGCCCCCTTGAGAGAGAAGCCCCTCCCGAGGCACATGGAGCCTTGATTCACATTGTCATTAGCGCGTTTCTTTTGTCAGGAACTGCATTTCTACGTCTTCTACTGCTTTGGCGTGGATCCGTTTGGAAACTAGTGGTGATTGAGCTAATGATTTGGACCTTAGGATGTGTAGTCCTGACGATTGCATTTCTGATTCTGATCAAAGTAGGTTCTCCTTCTCACTTAAGGTTAACGGTCGAACGAAATGTCAAAGAATCTTTCCATACAGGGTAGGACTTTTTGGAGCCAAGATAGTTGAAGCGCAGCGTCACTTGTGGCTTCATTGTATTACACCCAGCAGAGTACGATTTTGTTAGCTGCGGATGATGGACCCGTTAGAGGATGGGTTTGGCGCGGCTCCAGTCTTTTTTCTGTCTTTCTCGGCAAGCGACAAGACTGTGTCATATCATCGTGTCGTCATTTTCCACCAGTTGTTGTCTCTTAGCTGCTTCAACAACTGGTGGAAAACGGGCTGGCGTCGCGCCAAATCCAACCTCACTGACACGTCCCATCATCCGCGGCCAACTAGACTGTATTCCCTCACTGAACTCGACACAATGGTGGAGAAATGGTAGAGAATGTGTGCCACGGTTCCAACGGAACAACCGTTGTTCACCAACATTAGTAGTCCTGGATGGCTGTTTTGTGGAGAACTTGATAACTGAGACTTTATGCTCTAGATCGCTGCGGACGAAGGGACGTGTCAGGCAGTATAAGGTGCCATGGCGGCCAAGCACGCTCTCCTCCAGTTGTTGGAGCGGGTATGCAGTGGGTAGAAAAGAGTGATACGAACGATATGATAAATGCCTTGTCACCTGCTCGCTCCAACAACTGGAGGAAAACGCGTTTGGCACCGCGCCAAAGTCATCTGCCTGACACGCCCCTTCGTCAGTAGCGAAGTAGACTATATAGATTGCCCTAAACTAACTGATTTTCAGCTGTTTTTGCTTTCATCCTGTGGTCCTTTTTTATCCGTATAAAAACCGCTTCTAAATAGGTAATTTCTGAGGGGAAATAATAGAAACGTGGTGTCGCACGGACAGGATTCACACATTGGTATTGTAACGTTCCAGGAAGATTACCAGGAAAGCGAATACTGCAATGTTCTGTCGCATATGGATGGGCTGCCTTTCAAGGTGAGTGTGAACTGGTGCCAAACACACCTTTCATGTGGGATCTTATACATGTGAAAATAGATATCGATTAGCGAGCCAATACTCACAAGTCTATGGGCCAAAGAGTTTCGATGAACTGTAGAAGGGTAACCGCTCCCCTGGATTTGCGACTTCGTTTTCCCCATCCTATCTACCAACATTGTGAGGTTTTCTCAAATTCCTACACTTTTCACTTTCTCCCAGTTTCCCGGAAATTTTCCAGCCCAAAAACTACCGTCTAGTGGAGCAGAGGACGCCTGAATTGTACCTTTCCTCCGGATAGAATTCTTCCAACTACCCTGGCCGTGGAAACATCCTTTCCGTGACGCGAAGAGCCTTACTAACAGAAGAGAAGTTAATGACGCCAGTAACCGTCCCCCTACGATGAGCCACGCATAAGACTTCTGCTCGGGCTTCTAGAGGTCGCTGAATGCTCATTTGCTGCACGAATGGCGTAGCAACAGTTGTACAAACAATAATTTTCACATCCCATCAAAATAGTGTAGTACTTGGTAATCACTTAAATCAGCTGAAAGTTGGATCCGATTGGATGGTGACTGATTCACAAGGATGGTAGAAATGTAATGGCCGCTATCTAGACACAATGCTGCACTTCCATTTTAAAGGCATAAGGCAAGATAGTTTGGTACTAAAATGGTAGCATGGGTGCTACATAGTGGGGAAATGGCGAAAAAGCGAAGTGAAACTGTCAAAAACCTGCAAAAAAGGGTTTGATCTACACGACTCAGATGAGAATTCGGACGAGTTTCCCGTTGCCGTAAGCGCTATGTTAGATACAGCTGCCTGTACTTTCTCATATATCCATGCAACACTTTACAGGCTTCATATGGTTTTCTTCGCTTCATATTGTCTTCGCAAGTGAAACGAGCATTAGTCGGTCGTACATTTGTGGGCAGGCGGGCGCACTGGGTGTCCGGGTGTCCGCCTATGTTTCCATCTGATAGGCCGATAAGGGCATCTTCCTGTGGAAAAAGCGCACGAGTGCCTGCCGTCCTGCAGATTCAGCGTGCCACTAGCTTTCAAACTCACCAAAGGGTGTGCGAAGCCGGCGCTCGTGATGTCGCGCTTGTAGAGCTGTGCAGGGGCAAGGGTGTCCTAGGCAGTCAGAGAGATGCCGATGACAAATGTCGACGTGATTTCAAGTCAAGTACATCGTATTGGTACCACTGCGGATAGGGGCGTGTCGGCGAGAAGGAGCGTGCACACTGTTTGAAGCCTTCTCAGCCTTTTCGTTGAAACGCGTATGCGACAAAAAGTGATAGAAAACGAGTAACACGAAGGATATAATACAGTAATGTCACTCTCTGGTTCAACGATTGGTGCAGTACGGGTGCTGACGACCGCGCCGCACGCAGCCGCACTGACATTGACTATCAAGTGCAAGGATGACGAACTGTATAGCTTAACCATTGGCGAATCGCTTGGGCTGTAGATGGCCCGGGTTTGGCAGCGGAAGCACAACGTCCCCCACCAATTACCTCCTGCTTAGTTCATCAAAATTGGTGGAGAACGAGTTGACGCAGTGCCGAATCCAGGCCTGAAAAAACACAGCCCTGTACTCTGCTGTTCTTCTACACCGCAGAGAACAAGGCTGTGTCTGATTTTTACACATTTTTGGCACATGGACTGTAAGATTGTAATCATTGCCTAGATACTATGGAGACTGGTTGCAGAGCACCTTAACTGTTTTGTTGGGATTCACCGCACTAACGTGTGTGAAGCGATGGATGGACGTCTACAATTTGTTGGTGTGGCCTGAAAATGTAGCCCTGACGTTTAATTCGGCGTTTCGGGATGACGCTGTGAGTAGAAATGAGGAACTGATACCGATGAAGTGAGAAAGTTTCACTTTTAGCTCACACCATTGAAAGCTCGTAAAGTACGGCAATCGGTCTATCGCTATCTTCTGTTGGCTTACATCCTTATTCTACGAGACGTCTCAATTCCCATCAAGAAACAATTTCCCACATATCAACATCTTATCGAGGGTAAACTACTCACCAAGTGCGTTCTATTGGAATTCCGTTTTTTTCTTCCGCAGGCTAAACTTTTAGTGCACTTTGACCACTTTTCAAAGAGCCTAGCTGGCTTGTAGTAAGGCCAAATCAGTAAGGGATACCTTTTGTGACGGCTCTGTTTTAGAGAGGAGCTGGAGTTAATGGAGGCCAGTAATATTGATCCAAATTATTGTCGTTATTGGATGCCAATTTTGTGGATTGCTCAACTTGTGAAGAAATATTACAAGTACTGAAGTGACAGTTTTCAATGGAAAGTTCTTCGATAACAGCCGGGTGAAGAGATAGCTGGAATCATCTTGTGCCTTTGTCATCGGCGCCACTATATCTATCGAATGCAGCTGATGTCGGCCAGGGGGCGCGGAATGAGCCCACTGGGCATGAGCGTTTTCTCCCACTGCTTGCTCTCAACCTGAATCGGCAGCTCCTGGAAAAAAAAGGCAGCCGTGGGTGGGGCTTGTTTCCCGCCTCTTGGCACCGCCCCCCTTCCCCCCCCTGGATGTGACAACCACAACTAAGCCAGAGGAACAGCCGCATCAGTGCAGACACAATACTTATTCTCTTCTCATATCTTCACCCAATTTGTCATCACAGAGTGTACATTGGAGACTATTCGCAAACATTCTGGCGAAGAGTGAATCGTGGCAAGGGGCACAACCCGCCGTGTCGGGAGTTCGAGAAATGAAATCCTGTACATGCTGGGCATTTTTCCAGCAGTCATCACACGTTACCATCATGTCCTTTGGCATTGATATACTTCCGCTTGGATTATGTAAAGTGCGGAGCACACTCCAGTAAAGTTAATCGGCTCCAAGTATTTTATTCTTTCACCTATTTGCTCTAACGTTGACCGCACTGCACGCTATCCATTGGAGAACTTCCAAAAGGGATCGTATTCGAGTTCTTGGGAAATAAGGGTCATATTTGGTTTGCTGTTTTCTTCGGATGGATCTGCATCAATGTTAGAAAGTGTTCTGAGGAAAGGTGAAGATTTCCACCTTTTTTGGAGCAGCATACCCTTTCGAATTCCTGAGTCGACAAATTTTTTTTGAGAAGTCGCAGGATAAGTGTGGTGAATACAGTCCTCAT